TTAATGAAAATCGGTACATGAATAGGTAGGGTTATTAGGCTATACAGTATTCTAAGCTGGTATACCTCATTGAATTTTCTACTTTTTTCTTGCTTCGCAACTTACATACAATAGGTGATGTGACACGAATCCGGCAGTATCTGGACTAGTCTAGCACTTCACCAAAATCCTTCAGCACATTCGCGTCTATCCTATTTAAGCATGCCAGTTTAATACTTTCAAGCACTTTATTCTGTGTTTCTCTTCCGGCGAATCACATGAGCATGCAATTGATAGATATGAGGGTCTAGTGCCCAATCAAGTCGAAAGCGTGCAAATTCTCCCACCCCTGGATAAATCGTTAGGTTTGTACCTCAGTTATTCTACCGGTCACGGACTCCGCCATATGCCTATCCTAACATGGCAGGATGTACGCGGAGATTCATACAGAGATAATACAATAAGCGTTGTTAAGCCTCCGCACTATAATTGTCTTCAGTCAGTTTGAGAAGGAACACGAATCCCTATTCTCGGAGCCGAGCCAAGGATCGGCCAGTCAGTCAGTATGCAACTGTGCAACTAATAATAGCAATATCGAACAATCAAACGTTAGGATAAGCCACACAGTTTTCTCTTTTCCATAATCATCATAGTTCGTACCATCCGAATCAGTCAAAATCGCGGTACATACTGCTGGTCTCGTGTAGTAAAAGACAGGGTAACAGGGGAATGTACACTCGTACCTCATGTCTCGGAATACGACATGACATGGCAAAGTTTCGTTCTCATGACCTACATCAGGTAATATGTAAGTAAAACAGTGTTTCTTTCACGAGTCTCGACTTCCTGTCTCTGTAAATAAATGGTGCAAGAACTGCCACGTCCGATTTAAAATAAGCAAGATCGTCAGAGCCTTAGTCTATCATTTACCTCCACGCAAGAACATTTTTTCCTTTTCCCAAGTCCTTCCATTTATACCATTCTTTTGGCCTTTAATATGTCTGTTGCTTCGATTCAGATTCCAACTCCAATCTCACCCCACCTTGATCGAGTGGTGGGTAATCAATCAAGCAAGCTTCATTTATCGCCCACAAGGAAGCAAGAGAATGACTCAAGTCGTTTTTTAGGCGATTCGTCGCCACAGAAGATCAATGGTGATAAAAGGTCTCAAGAAAGTGGCCAAGTCAGCGAGCCTGAACCCAATATCAAGCCGCTCGCACTGATTCCCTCTCCACCAAAGTCGATCAGCGAACGAGCCAAGGCTGCTGCCATTGTACTAAACCGGTATCGCATTGAGTATGAGAACGACTGGGACTTCCCTGAATCAATTATTCATTCACAGGCGCAGATTAAGAAAGCTCTTGAGCGAGAGGCACCAATTGAACTTGTGATTCCCGCATTTCCCTTTAAATCCTCAAATCGCTCGAAAAAGGTTCTGGGGCCACTCCCAGATGAGGCCGAACGACTTTCTTTATTGCATCTCAATGGACTCTGCTTAGCGATAAAGGATGCTGCGGATTCTGATACATACTTGACAATCGTTTCCGACGGTATTACGTATAATGGTAAAACTCTTTTCCTCTCTCCTTTTTGTATAGCAAATACTGACTTAATTCCAGATATACTGGGTGTCTCAGACAAGGAGGTATGGCAATACGGTCAACAGCTAAGAAAGATGGCAGAGCAAAATCATTGCCATTATATTCGATTTTCACGAATCTGTGACCTTTTTGGTGCTGAACACGAATCCGGCAAGCTCGATGAGGCAGTTTACCTTGCCAGGGTATCTGAATATCGCAATCTACTCGAGGCGAACACCCCTAGTGGCTTCGATGTACTGGATGCTATCGCCAATGATCTAGACATCTCGAAAACATACAAGGGCTACAAGAAGTTTCTGGTGAGCGAGCGTGATAACCGTACCAATCGCTCCCGCTCCCAGACCGAGAGAGAAAATAGTAGCATTGCCAAAGAAATGATAGTCAGAGGAAAGGTCAGCACAAACCTAAGCCCATGCGACGAGTATTCTAGCTAAATTGTCCCTAGGCTTTTGCCGAGACCGTGAAGCACAGGTATCCAGATTCTGTTCGACTCTCAATCCATCCGTCAAATGACAGAGCCAAGGTATCAATCACCATGCTGCCTCAGGATAACGAAATTGTTATGACCCCTTGGCATGGTGCTGTAGTACGAGACGCGAACGGGCGCAGCTCAATGTCACACGCGATCTTAGTTCCCGCGATGACGCATGACGTCGTATACGTTGACGGGCGCCCAAGCTACTTTCGCGAGCGATCAGACATCTTCGACTGGCCTTCTATGGAGCTGACATTCGAGTACCTGTATCCTTGTGGCATCGTCATTCGACCAGCCAATCCAACCTCTGTCTACCCACTATCTATGGTGGACATGCAGAAGGTTCGCACGCTTGCCATGACTTGCTCTCCTGTTGTCCTAAGAGGCTTTTCCAATACTAAAGATCGCCGCACGTTTATTGCCAAGGCACATGACCTTGGCCCGGTTTTACCTTGGAAATCAGGGGTTATTCAGGAAGTCAAAGACGAGTCCAACAATGACTCTCAAAGCAACAGCGGTAAGTCTTATTCGAGACCATTGTGTTATCGTTTTATTATATATCAGAGTGAAACGACCCAGCTTCTAGTGAGAGCCGGAATTGTTTTCTTTTGAAGATTTTTTACGTTTCCGAACAATCAGAACTATCTCAAATCTAGGTAACTAACTCCAAGCGCTGCAGTGGTGTCGGCCGAGGCAATGCCTATGCATTATGATGGTATGTTCAAGATAATGACGATCAAGGATGAGGAAACGGGAAAGGAGAGAAAAATATCGGACGCCCCTCACTTCCAATATTTTGTCTCACAATCTGCGGCTCAGCCCGGAGACGGCTACACGCTCTTCGCATCCTCGGATCTTTTCGCCCGGTACCTACCCCAAGCCTACAATATTAACAAGCTTGAAAAGATCAAATGGACTTGTCGTAGCCACGGGTTCTTTCATCATATAATGGATGATATCTCACTGGTTGTTCGACACCCAACCCGAAACTCACCGTGCATTCGCTGGCATCAGCCATGGCCAAGATGGCGAACCTCTTACGGTTTCGCGGATATCAGCATCGACAATGGATCCCAGAGTTTAATCCCATTAATCGACAGCCTATTATTTGATCGTCGAGTGTGTCTTCGCTTCTCGTGGCAAGAAGGAGATATTCTAGTCTCCGATAACTTTGCTATGCTACATACTAGGACTTCATTCAGCACCGACCACCCCAGAGAGCTATGGAGGATTCACACTGAGTGAGAGTTATATAAGATATGTTTTGAATATGTATCAAGTGGGGGTTTACGGTTTTCCTAACTTTCTGTGTAAAGAGAAGTATATACCACTAAGGCAATATGCCAATCACCTGACACCTGATTGCTAGCGGAATAATGGCATATGAGTGTCTTGTCAGTTCAATTTAAAGTAACAAGTCGGGGGCCGCCACTTCTATAACTTATGCTCGCGCTTTCTTATGTCTTACATCGGCCAGATATGAAAAAGCACATCACGAGTAAAACGTAATCCCAGCAGAATACGTCAACTCACAAGGACAATCCCAGCTCGTTGCAGCCATATCATTACACCTAGCTACCTCATGCCTTCGAAACCTAGACCTACTTCTTTGGCAGGCTATTGGCTTTTCTTATAGCACAAGCAAAGTTATTGATGTTCAATACGCCGGTAAGGAGCTAGCTCATGCAAGAAGCACTTACTCCGTTTTTCAAAGCAGAAACCGGGCAAGAACTTTAACACGAATGTAGTCTCGACTATCTATAGTAAGTGCCGGGGTAGTTGTTTCTTCCTTTTCAACGGATCTATGTAAGTTGAGGAAATTGCAGGCGTTTCAACCTTCCTCTACCTTGAAGTCTGCTGCCTGTCTAGTATTTACGGCAATCTCTAGACACTTGCCACTCACCACTTACCAATTACCACTTACACACATTACAAGTCACTTACCCTCGCCACAAATCCCTCATTATACGTCATTTACTACACACCACAACTGAATCATTTTCACTGAACATCTATTCACATTACCTCAGCTCTCTAGGTTCAACTCCCTTGCTAAATTTCGTCTTCCCTTTGTTTCGGCGAGTGTGTATGTCTCTCTCATTTTTCCGTTCTGCTGTCATCATCCACAACTGTCCACTTCTGCCTACGCAAACTAGCCTATCATCTCTAGTTAGATTGCCATGAGACGTGACTTCATAGACTCAGAGACAGCCGAGAGAAAATAAATCTCTGAGGGCATTATTCTTATGTTAACTCTCGTGTGACTGATTGTTACTAAACTTTGTGGCAACGAAGTCATGGTACTCGTGCCTCAGCATCAGTGGTTTAGTGGTAAAATCCATCGTTGCCATCGATGGGCCCCGTGTTCGATTCACGGCTGATGCAATATATCTTTTGCCTTTGTCTATTCTTTTTCATATCTCTCTCTCTATTTTGATGCATATGACGGGGCTGTTGGTGGCTTTAAAATAAGTTAATGAAGCTAGCTACATACTTACTTAAAGCGTTGGAAAGTTTCCTCGGGTTCACTGGCCGGCTTGATTGACTTTGTTACTCTTTTGCCCCGTGGGGTCACGTTTATTGCTCTACTTCGGAATCCCCGCTAACACATATACACTAATGTAATTAGGCCTCAACCTTAAGTCTTAGCTAAGGTGAATTTTAATAGAAACAATGATTAATACTTGCTGCTATTGTAAGTAAACAGATTGCTGTCTATTTCTTGCTATGCATAGGATATGAGAGTGTGTATGCACTTCACGGAGCTATCTTAAACAACGCCAATGTCCAGCTGAGCCCCTCATAGAGGGGTAGCAGCGGCACCAGTCTAGCTAGTAAATGTTACAACTTTATCAATTCGAACCCAACAACCCCTTTCGGTCCGATCTATCGGATCTAGGCACGTTTTCGGCGGCACGCATTCATCAATCGGTAATATACCACCTGGGAGTTTGGCCGAGTGGTTAAGGCGTCGTGTTTAGGTTTATTGGGCTGTGACCTGGTATACATAAATCCCGCGATGGGAAACCGCGCAGGTTCGAATCCTGCAGCTCTCAATCCTTTTGCTTCTACTTCCTTGTCTTGTTCTTACGCTTTGTTCTTTTTTTTCATTTGCTGCATATTGATTCAGATTGCGTAGTGGAAGCTGCTCCAATTAGGTTAAGCGTGCCCAGCGGCTTGGCGATTTTATTGATTTCTTTTTGCTGTGAGAGACATACTTGCGGCTAACCACGCATGTGAATTGATACTTGGTAGACGACAGTCTACCTACGAACGGAAATATTTTCTCATATATTAAAGTAAATAACGTATCAGAAGTTTCTAATTCTTCAATGGTCCAGCGGGTTATGTTTTAGCAAAGACCTCGCTATATTCTGCTCTCCGTTTTACCAACACACAGAGAGCAGGCACAACCCTTCAAAGCGATAAAATGGGATAAAGCGCAGAACGAAGCAACAACACTAGAAACCCCTTTACGATTTGGGCGGTTCCTCTCATGTGGGAGAAGTCTCTGTTTGTGAAACCTCTTTACGAAATTAGTTCGATCTATGTAATGATTCCACGTGTGTTCTTGAAAGAGCCGTGTTCGTTCACCTTCAAGGGGCGAGCAGCGATACTATCTAAATGAGCTCAACATTCTGTGATGTATATTTCTCTCTCACATAGTGGTTGATCGTCTAGTCAATTGCGTAATTGAAGATGTATCTAATAGTTGGAACACTTGAGCTATCGCTTCACGAGAAAATGTATATAGTCTGTTATCACTGAAACAGTTTAACACACACACACGATGTTTAGAACGTACTATGGTTAACAATATCGGGGTTTACCAACTACAGAGTCTATCCGGAGTTCAAAAAGAGCGCAATCAATTAACAAATGGTATTGTTTTCCGATCTAAAGCAGGAATATGTTGACGAAATCGTCAACATCACCATAATTGGGCAGTCCCCTTTGTCTATATAATAAAAGAGATGGTTTCTGAGCAAATAGGCCCGGAATATGTCAAAGACAGTGCCCGCTAAACAAACCTATCGTTAATTATAATGGGTTTTGTATGTGGGGCGGCCGAAAGATATATATTTTCTCTTCAAAAGGCAGAATGACGAAATGTTCGTACCGCATTCTCACATTCAAAATACCATCTACCTTCAAATCAGAAATCAATATGGCTTTAGAGTCGGCCAGTCAGCAGACAGTGGTCTGCAAAGCAGTCCGTTGCAAGAAACCCAGAGTGAGTTGGCTGTGTTATTGCCAGTCTCACTTAGAGCAGCACGAAGAAAGGATAGCAGAAAGGAGAGCAAAAAGGAAAGGCGATTCTCCGGTGGTAGGGGGCTCCAACATTGAACCCGACCTTATAAAACCGGGGGTGGCTGCGAAACGGAGAAAGAGCAGATACCACCAGTTAAAAGCGCGAGGCTTATGCACCTGCGGCATGGAGGCCGCTAGCGATAGCTACCGATGTGAGGGGTGTTTAGCTAAGTCTCGACAAAGGAACAGAATTCTAGCAGTAAATAATCGCTGCAAATGTGGGAGAGTATTAGACGAGAACGGCTATCGTACTTGCTCGGTTTGCAGGCCTTTCACCCCCAAAACGTTAAGGCGAAAGAGAAAAAAGGCGGCGGCAAGAGCGAATGAAGCGGCAGAGCGATCATCAGTTTCACCAAGGGTGGAAAGCAACCCCGATCTCGGAAACGATGGTGGTTCTGCAAGGACGAAGAGTGGCACTCTACCGAACAAAACCACCAACAAATTGACTATCGCCAGCATGCTGAATTAGGCGTACAGTAAACCCTAATATACTACATCAGTCGTGCTAAGCGCTCTTCAATACGCCGTCCCGTAACAGTTACTAAAGTTTTAGATCTTCATAACCAATGTTTCAGATAAAATAGGAGTAGATATGCTATAGCAGCAAATTCGTAAATAAATCGCCTCAATTCTCGCTCATGCTAGTAAAAAAGGTATCCAGTATTACAATTACTTTCAACGTTTAGCTCGTGACTCGTATATCAATATCGTTTGCGCTCCTTCCCCTTGAGGGTCTGCCTCCAAAGACAGATGACACTCTTGCTCTCGCACCACTTCTTCACATCAAAAGGAGACACCTCCCCATCATATCCGATGCGCGCCAACTCGCCGCCGTTTAGCCAAGATGCGAGCTCTTCGAGTATAATAGGATCGTAAAGAAGCATCTTCTCATACCATGACGGCTTCGACGGATCTTGTGAACGGGGCGCGGAGGTCACGACCTTAGTAATGTATTTGAATAACTCCGCCTGTTGGTCAGTAGGCGACAACGTTAGAGACATATCACCCTCATCTGATATCGTAAGATCCAATGGAGGAGGTGAAGAAAATACTGGATCAGGCGATGATACGGGTGATGAAGTCTCATTCTCGGAGTCTGGGATCTCAATGGAGGTATTACTCGACTTTCTAGGACGACCACGTGGCCGTTTAGGACTTGACGCGGAGACGCGAGGTTCTGCAACAGGGGTTGAAGTGGTCTTATCCTTGTTTCGACCACCGCGCGAGCGTTTGGGGCTTGATTTATCCAACGAAGTTGGCTGAGCGACCGATGTTAAGGTATCATTGTCTTTCTTTGGCCTCCCGCGTCCACGCGGCTTCGCAGCTGCTTTTCTTGGCGCATCGCCAGCAGATTTTTGTTGTGCTAGGGATGGGCTACGAGTAGAAGTCGATGAAGGTCGTATTGAACCAGCTGATGTACCTTGATGTTTACTTGTCCAGCATTGATCGAGCAATGCAATCATTGTGGCACGTTTCTTTACTGGTTTGAAGCCATATGATGTAATTTGGTTACCGAGTTGAGCATCTGTGAACAATTCGTAATTAGGGCGGGGGTCAGTATTTGCTGCATTTGCCGAGCCTTCTGACTCTGAGGACTTGGCGCTTGAATCATGCTTCGTACTCTGCGATTGGAAAGGATAGGAATTCGCTTGTCCGGACTCGGAAGGCTCATTGAGAACTGGGCTCGCTGGCCGCGGCGAGTCTAGTATATCATCAATGTCAACAAAGCTTCGACCACCTGGCGTGGCGGCTGGATCTGGTTCCGTGATAATGACAGGGCTGTGCTGTAGGTCAATAATATCCATTCCTATCAGCTCCCCGCCCTCATCACGCGAGCCAGCCTGCCATAAACGTTGGCTCACGACTTCATCGAAAGGGTCGGAGTGTAAGGTATTAGATGCGCAAATGGCAGCCTGAAGGTCCCTCAACGTCGTTGGGGAATCTTCTTGCATGAGTTGGCTTGACGTCCCGAAAACAAAGTCCTGGTTTGAAGACTGTTTTAGTGCAGAGCTTGGAGACAGCAAAATTGGGTTAGCTTGCGTTCCAGCTTTCTTCTTGCGTTTTGTCTTAGGTGGTTGCTTCGTCCCTTTAACCTTGGGATTCCTTTGAGACATGACGGCTGACTGGTGCTCAACTAGTGCCTTGACGGCACCATCAGAATCGAAGTAGTCCAACATTGAATCCTTAGTTGCAGGCCCCGCGAGTTCAAAGTTAGGCGAAAGTGGTGCTGCAAAAGGAGCTATCGCTAGCTCAGTGATCGTCCTCGTCTTCTTTTTCGGAGCGGGTTCTTTGGGCGCTTTTCGCTGCTTGTGCCCGTTTGGTCGCGGTAAATCATTCGATGGAATTTCTTCATGCGCTTGTTGCTTCGCCTCTTCTTGGCCAGTAGATATCATCTCGATCCGCTTTCGTTTCCTTAGAAACTCGGCCTGGGGCTGTGGACATGGTTCTGGTGATAAATCTAAATCCTGTCTTCCATATTGGCTGTATAGTGTTTGAAATACATCTTTTGGTATTGGCACTTTGCCAACCGATGAGAAAAGCTCTCGGGAATCAGAGTCAGAGTCAAAAACAATCGGCCCATCGGCTTTCGGAGGGGTCCAATCGCCCCGACGGGGGACGGCATGTTCTGATTTAGTGTTTGCAAATGCCCCGTCAGCTGACTCTTTTGTGTCGTTCTTATCTTCCTCTCCCCTGACACTGTTCTCTGAAAGCGGGTTCCCTGCCTTTGTAGTAAAATGCCTGGACACAGTGTCGCTCGTCCCGGCAGGTCGGGTTTTCGAGGTCGGGTTCGAGGTTTGAGCCTCGAGTCTGGTAGGGGATAAGAACCGATCACTGTGCTGAATAGAGGATTTGCTCTTGAATTTCTGCCATGGCTTGTCCCGTGGTGATGAAGACCCAACCATAAGAACCGGCTGGGCTAAACTCTGATCATTGGACAAGTTATTAGGTATAAGTGCCTTCCGTCTGCGACTCTTGGTCGGTGTCTTAGGTCTGTGCGAAGGCGAACTGGTGATTGCCTCGGTGTATATATCGATTTCGGGGGCTTCTCGTAAGATGTCGGCAGCACTCGTAGATGTGGCTCGGGCATTGGCCGGTATAGGCGCGGCGTGCTTTCCAGTTGTTAAAGACGGCCTCTCGGGGCACTTCTTAAGGAAGATTTCATCGAGAGAAGGAAGACATGGTGAAGAGGAAGATACAGAAGTCGGATCGAGGGCGCGAGGTCGATGCGGAGAAGACGTCAGAATGTCAGGAGATGCCATGGCCAGACGTTGCAGGTAGAACCATGCGCGCCTGGCGCAACAGAAGTGGTGGACCAGCAGATTGAATGAGCAAAGGATGACTGTAGCTTGTAAGCGCCTATATCGTCATAGTTTGATCAGATAGAATCAATCAGCAATTGCTGCTTTGTCGTGTAGTGTTGCTACGTGCCTGACTGGGACACTACAGACTCTACAGGCGATCGAGGTACCTAGTCTACAGCGGAGGGCATTGGTTCAACTTGGGTCAATTGGCGGGGCTTTAGTACAGGGCAACCGGGGTCGAAGGGCGCACGCGAAACAATCTCGAAAGCATGTGACTCTGCACGTGATCCTAGCCGAGCCAAGAATACAGTGCTGCAACCCCACCACTCACATCCCTCCCACCATTTGCCAGCCTAGGTCAAAATTGCTGAAATTCCTTTGCGACAAAAATCCATCATCAACGACACTTCCGACCTCCCATCCGCCAACTCACCCCAACCGCC